CAACCTTGAAGCTTCTGAGGGCTGTTTCCGCTTTGCTATGTTTAAACACAGTCTAATATATAATTTACTGGAAAGCTGCCCATTTTGCTATCTTCGATACAATGTGTATCAACAGTTCATACTTATCTGCCCTCAGACAAAATAAGAGGCCGTGGCCAGCATGAGGTGCATCTTATTTGCTGAGCACACCTCTGTGATGGCTGGATGTTTATCTGGGAGTTGCAAGGAGGGGTGTAGAATCTTCTGGAGGATTTGGGATCTCGTGTATGTTTCTATCGTAGTAATACACAGTATTTAAGGAAAAGATCTAGAAAGAAAATAACTCAGCAGATTAAAGTGCCTGCAAGCAGGCACAGGGGTGCAGGGGCAGGGGTTGATCCCTGGGCCTGCTGTGCCAGCCCATGCCTGTAATCCTAGCTCTCGGGAGGCTGTAAACAGGTGGATCACTACGAGTCCAATCTAGTAGTGAGACCCTGAACACCCTGTAGACTCTTCCTTGGGGGGGGGGGGAGGAAAGTGTCTAGAAAGAAAATGCTAAGAAAAACCAAGACTGATACACAGTAGTAATATAGTGTTCTAGAGGCGACGGAAAGAGAATTACAGTAAGCTGAGGGTAGTCAATAGCATCAGATGTCACCATACTGAGAAGCAGGAACAGGCCTGGCTCTGGTTGTTAGACAGTAGTAGCAGAGCCAGGCTGCCTGGATTAGCATGGCAGAGAACTCGGCACAGCAATGGAGGTGTGAGGAACAGGGTGGAGTCAAGAGAAGAGAGGAAGGGTGATGGACACGGAGGAAGGCTGCACACAGGCATTTTCTGGGACCTCTCAGAGATGGAACACTATGCAATAGGAAGGACAGGACATTCAGAATACATGGGTCGGCTTTTAAGGGGCAATCATGTCCTTGAAAAGGAGCTAGAGAGGAGACAGTGGGCAGAGGGACAGATGTGGATAGAAGAGAGGAGCAGGAGGGCCACTTTGGCTCTTGCTACACCTGGGCTCAAACAGAGAATCCTGGGCTAGGAGGGGACTAACCATTCTTGCAGGGGATGGAAGAGGGTGGGACACATTCCACCATGGCTGACACAGACCACTCTCAGTACCCGCACCTCATGCTTGCCATCCCATGTGGATGCAGGTGTGAAAGCCACCCTATCCTATTCCCCAGGCCTCTGTGATTGGCCTCAGAACCCAACTCAGGGCTTGCATTCTGGGGCAGCCAGCCCTGGGCAGCTAGCTGGGCGGCTCCCTCCCTTTTCCCTACCCAGATGCCCTCACTGCCTCCCCAGCAGAAGGCCGGGATAACCATCTGAGAGCACTAAGAAGACAGCTGAGCAGCACAGTGCCTACTCAGCAGGTAGAAGGCCCTGAGTTCAATTCCTGGTACAAAAAAAAAAAAAAAATAAAAATCATCTGAGAGCTACAGGTAACACAGCCTTGTACACTACCAAATGGCTGCCTCGGCGAGCTGGCTCCAGGGTTATAGGAAATCACACGCGCTTACTGTGCCACTCTATGTTCTGGGTACATCTTCCCTTTCCTTCCCTGGACTTTAAGCTCTTAATGAGCAAGGATTATCAGGATATCTTCAAATGTCCTCTGAGAGCAAATAATACGTCTAGAATCTGCCTTCAACCACAGTGTGGTGGGAGGGACAGGGACCCACCGGGCTTGCAGGGGTTCGCTGCTGAATGTGCTCTACACTCCCACAGTGCTCGCGAGCGCACAAGTCCCAGGGCCTTGGACACCGGCCCTGGCTCCCCTTCTCTACACAATGCACAGGTCGAGGCCCAGGCAGGTCCTTCAGCTGCACCCTCAGGGACTCTGACTCACTGGACAGCAGACAACACTAGCTCGTGGGTCCAAGGTGGGCGTTGACCCAAGGTCCCAAAGGTGGGATATGAAGGTCGTGGCCCGATGACATTTCCCGGCTGTTCTGATTTCAGTCCTAGGTAGGACCTGCTTGGGTCACACCACATCCGGCTCCCAGGCCCTCCAGATCTTGCCTTGCAGCCCGTTGCTGCCACAGGCGTTTGTTCTCAGATGGTTTAATGGACTCTTGCCTGTTGCAGCTGGCCCTGGACAGCCCCGATGACTGCTGCCTTGCAGCTACAAAGAGGCCATAAGCTCGCAGACAGAAATGATGCTGCCTGTGCGCAGGGGGCACCTCAGGCGGGTGCATGTGGACACCCAGGAGAGACAGCCAGGGCCTGGGCATTCCTAGTTGTGAGCTGAGGTGGTGTGTGGCTGTGTATTGAGGAGAGAGTGGGATTGTATAAGATACAGCGTCAGCTGGATGGGGCAGCGCACACCTGGAATCCCAGTACTCTAGGAGGCTGAGGCAGGAGGTCAGAAAGTTTGAGGCCAGCCTGGGCAATGTAGTGACTAAGACACGTAGACACACACACACACACACACACACACACACACACACACAACCTCAGACCACATTCACCCCTCAATCAGCTTCTGGAAGGTGAGGGGAATCAGGAGCAAAGGACAAGGCTGGACACAGTGTCCCACTTGGTGTCTCAAGGTGAAACAAACTTACCAAGTGTGCTGGAGATGGCGACCTCGTGTCCTTGACTGTGGCACTGGTGGGGACATCGAGTAGAGGCCATTTCATCTGCAGGTACTGCAGAAGGACAGAAAACACAAAGCAGTTGGTGAGATGAGGCCTTCTGAGTGCCCAAAACAAGCAGAGAAAGAGCCCTGGGCTCAGTCACCAGGCAGGCAGGGAAGCCTACCACGCTATCCCCACGTCCTTGTTCAGGGGCAGGTTCTTGACAGCTCTAGTCACCCTACAGGGACCACCACAGCCTCTGTCTCCTTGGGGGGGGGGCACAATTGACAAACTCAGAATTTTTTTTTTTCTTTAGGAACTGGGGGTTGAACTCAGCCCCTTGCGCTTGCCAGGGAAGCACTTATTCCACTGAGCTATCTCCCTGGCCCCAACCCTCAGAAAATTTTGAGTGGGGGAAAAAACAAATATATCTCACACATCCCAAAGTTGTCCAAGACCCTGCTGAGCTCTCTCTGCTGCTGTCGTGGTCCACACCAGATCCGCAGGGACCAGAGGCCCTTGAAGACCACCCTGTCTGGATGGTTTCTGCTTCCCTGAGCAACAGACGCTGTGCAGCAGAGGTGGGCGAACAGACAGAATCCACCGCCTGACCCTCCCGGAGTCTCCAGTAATCCGGACCCAAGCTGGAATCCTCATCTCATTGGTTCTCACTCTTGAGATGACTTTAGGACCCACCTGCTCCCCTGTGTCACCAAACACAATAGCCGTGACCCCAGGCAAGAGACTGACAACCCAGAGCCTTAGTTTTGTCTGTGAAGGGCAAAGCCATTACAATGACTTTCCAGGCTGTTGGGAAGGGGGGGGGGAAGACGACACAGGGACAGGACGGACGACACTAGCGTCAGGCATAGAACCAGCGCCCTGTTGTGGGAGCTATTTGATAAACAGTGGCTACTATGTTCACAAGGGAACCAGGAGCAAGTGCACATGTGCTGTTGCAGTACCAACACCCACCCTCGAGGCGGCCTCTGTGGTGCTCTCCAGAGCAGCCACTCCAGGAGGAGTTTCAGAGAGGATGGGAAGGGGTTTTTGAGCTTCCCCTGCTCTGCATTCTATTCAACTGCAGGACAAAACACTCATGATTTGGCCTTGCATGATACACACATGTAGTAAGGAAATGGGTGGACAGGGCCCCAGGTTTCAAAGAGGTGACCCAGGGACACGCATGCCAAGAGTTGGAGCATGAAGCAGAGAGCAGGCACAACAGGACCAGCGGGGGACAGCAGCTCAGAGCAAGGAGGCTTTCCGCTCCTCCCTGAACCATGCCGCCCTGTCCCTGACTGCGGCTGACCCTTGCTTCTTCCTCCCTTTTCACTGCAGCCATCTCTCTGTCCCTCTTCTCAGAGCCTACACTTTCCAGAAGAATCAGCTGGATGTCCAGTATGGTTGGTAACTTCAAAAACACTGGAGCCTGGGGCTGGCGAGATAGCTCAGTGGACCAAAGCCCTTGCTTGTGCGAGCTTAGGCACATGTGGGGACCGCAGTTCGATCCCCCCCGCCCCCCGACAGCCCTTCATCCAGGGCAGGCTGAGCAGACCACCAAAAAAAAAAAAAAAAAAAAAAGGTGCTGGAGCTTTAACAGTATTTGTGCCACCTTTGTGATTGTGAGAGCATTTTGACACACAGAACCCAGTTTAGCCTTCACGCGTCAGCCCTGCTAGGCTAAGTTCGGGATGCAGCCCCAGTTTTCAGATGAGCCAGTGGATGTAAAACAAGCTCTCCAGCTTTCTGTGGACAGCCTGAGCCCGGGCACCCGGGTCTCTCAGGGCAGGCTCTGTCCCTCTCTCATGGGTTTTCTCTCCTTTTCTGTCTGCCTATCCAGAAGCAGATGTTCTCCTGTCTGGATGCCTGAGGTAGCCAGAGCTGCTGTGTGAGGCCCCAGCATCCTCAGGAAACAACAACTTGAACTTGTTTGTTTTAAAAATGAACCACTGTGACAAGTATCAAGTGCTAAAGAAAAATGTCTCAAATCCCCACTCCCCCCAACCCCAGCATGAAACCCTTCTGACAGGACACTAAAACCCATCAGCTCTACCACCAGGGTCTTGTTCCCTGCAAGTGTGACATACACACTGTGCCAGCGATGCTGTTCTGGTGTGTGTGTGTGTGTGTGTGTGTGTGTGTGTGTGTGTATCCCACTAGTTTAGGGTGATGCCACACTTCAGGGTCTTAAACATTCCCAGACTTGCTGAATGCCTCCTGGGGCAGGGGGAAGGTCACTTCCTATTGAGAATCTCTGCTCTAGGGCCAAGGAGCTGGTGCCCCAAACACAGATCCCCTGAGGTTTGTCTGTCGGGACACACAGACATACATAAGTGCTCATGTTCACAGCGGAGGGCTGCAGGAATCACTACCAGTTTTCACCACTTATCACACACTTGGTATTCTTCCTACCTCAGGTGTCTTGGGCTTCTGATAGAGGAAGGAGGCCACACACTGGACCCTACTCCCCCAAGGCACAATGTCTGCTGTCTCTCTTAAAAATGCAGCTGTTTACTTCTTGATTCAGTTTCTCAAACTTTGTTTCATTTCATTCTTCAAAAACTATTTTATTGGTGTGTTTGCAGTACATAACGATGGCCTCCATCATGGGGGGTTGGGACATGGACACCACATCTTATTTCTTTTAACTTTCCCCTTCCCTCCATGTCTAGGTCCCCTTCCTGTTTGCAAGAGATCTAGCTCTATCCTGTTTTCCATAGTGGTCTGACTAGTTCACCTTCCACACCAGCTACGAAGAAGGCCCCATCCCCCAGCCTGGCCAGCATTTGTTATTATTTGATTTCTTTTATTTTAATCACGTATGTATGTATGTAGTGTTGGGCTCAAGCTGAGAACACTGTGCACCACTGGCAAGTCTGCTGCCACTGATTATCTGATTTCTTGATGATGACCTAGACAGGAACCTCTGTGTTGTTTCAGTTTGCATTTCTCTAATGACCAGAGAAATGGAGCATTTCTTCATGCACTTACTGGCCAATCTGTAGAGGGGGAAGTAGCAGGGTCTTTCTCAAGTGGGAAAAGGATCAAGAGACGGAGGAAAAGGGGGAGCGAAAGGAGAGGGAAAGGAATGGGCATGCCACATACAGGACCGACTCCACACGGAATGTAGACATTATGTCCTGCAAACGTATGCTAATCAAAAATAAAAAAAAAAATCTCTCTGTTTCCTGTTTTCTTTTATTTGCTTTTTGTGTATTCACTATTTAAGCTGGTGCATCTGACTTACTGCACAGAATTATGGTCTCCGGTGCATTCCTTTTTCTTACAAATGACTCAAACTTATCCTCCTTCATACCAGAGTAGTAGTCCATTGAGTGCAAATACCACACTTGGCCCATTCATCTGGTGATGGACATTTAAGCTGCTTCCAAGATGGAGCTATTACGAGTCAAGCTGCTATGAATGTGGATGCGCACGGATCCCTGCAATATGATGTCTTTAACCCTCTGGACATGATCCAGAGCAGATATAGCTGGGTCAAATGGAATTTCTAGTTTTAGCTTTTTGAGGAATCTCCACGCTGATTTTCACAGCGGTTGTGCTAGCTTACACACGCACCACCACCGACAAAGGGTGCCCTTTCCCGAGCTGCGCTAAGTGCTAAGCCCATTCTCATGCTGTGAAGGCTTGCTACGTCCCAGGCCACACACACACACACACACACACACACACACACACACACACGCGCGATTTTTACTGAGAGGGAAGGATGAGGGGCTGTGGTCCTGCCCACCACTTCAGTCTGGTCCCCAGCAGAGAGGGGTGGCTCTGGGAACAATGCTCCTTTTGCTCAGAACTCATCCTGGGGTAGGCATCTGGAACTGCAGCTTATTGTCTTCTTTTTGCTTTTTAAAGATTTTCAAATGGATTTAGAGCTGCATAAGAGAAGGTGGGGCCCCTGAAGCTCAGGCACATGATGCTTCTAGATTCAAGTCTGAGGAAAGAGGTGTGCTTTTTTTTTTTGCGGGGGGCAGTGCTACAGATAGAAAATAGAGTGTCAGGCCACACGTGCTCCTCCACTGAGCTACACACTCAGCTCTTCTTGTTTTGAGCTAAGTTCTCACTGAATTACCTGGTTGCTAGCGAATCTACGATCCTCTTGGCTCAGCCTCTCTATGCCACTATGTCAGCCAGAAATAGGGCATTCTAAAGGGACACATGAGTTTCCCAGGACCATGGATAGGGTGACAGGAGCCAGCAACACCCCACTGTAATTTCCCAGGTCAGCAGCAGGAACTTGGAGGTAGCTGAGCAGTATTGAATTCCTAGGTCAGGCCCAGTCCAACATCCACTAGAAATAAAGGTTTATTTTGGTACCAAGAGTTGAACTCACGACCTTGTGCTTGCCAGGCAGGTGCTTATGCCTGCTGAGCTATACCCCCAGCACAATAAAGCTTTGCTTGTGGTGATTCTTGTGGGAGATGAGGGCTGCTTGTGGGTGGGGCAGGTCCTAAGGGATTCAGTGACAGGAGGCTGCACCATAATGCCATGTGGGCAACTTGCAACTACTGGTTTCTCCAAACCCTACCAAGGTTTCATCCAGGGGGCTTCGGCACATACTGAGCAGGGGTGTGCAGCCTGATCCACCATCCTTCCCTTGGGGTACCCACTGGAACGGGAAAACTGAGCCCACGAACATCAGCGCAACCCCAATGGGTGAGCCACTGCTTCCCCGGTGCTCTCTACAAGCCCATTTCTGACACTCAGAAAATGAAAAAAGAGACCAAGCCCAGTTCATTGGCTACCGCAGCCCTGGACTTAGAAACTTTTTTTTTTTTTTTAATGTATTTAGTACAGGGTCTACAGGGTCTCATTACACAGATCAGACTCATAGTAATCCTCCTGTTTTCAGCCTCCCAAGTGCTAGGATTACAGGCCATGTGCATGCCACCACGCTGTCTCAACACTCCTTGAGGTGGAGCCTGCACAGCACACCAGGGATTGAACCCCTGTCCCTGCACCTGTCTAAACAGGTGCTTTAGTCTGCTGAGCTATCTAGCCAGCCCTACAAACTTTTTTTTCCCCTTTAAATTTTTAAAATCATTTAT